TTCCCTTCCTATTTTCTCAAGAGTTTCACGGCACTGTTACTTCTCACGCATCTTTGGGCTCTTTTTCTATATGCTGAAAGATCCTTCTTAAAAATATAATAAAGAACCCTCATCCTTGTCTTGCCATTGATCCACTGCCCTGTGTTTCTTTTCTTCTTTCCGAATCTCTTGATCTGCATCGTCTCAGCTTCCACGTCCTCATCTTCCACTTACTCCCCTTCGACTGTATCATTCAACTAAAACCGTGCTCTCCATGGTCACAAGTATCCTTCTGATTCCCAAATCCTGTTACTTCTTTTCAGTCCTCATCTTACTTACTTCTCAACAGCTAGTTAGCACAGCTACTCGTTCTGCTACCTCTCTCCTGCCCTGTTTCCTTTTCTTTCTCTGTGTATCTCCCTGCTGGAGGCGCTCCCTGTTAACTTCTGCTTCCCTTCCCCCCCCCATGGTACTTTGCTGCTTCCTCTGCATCTGCCTGCTGTTTAAACAGTGACAGTTCCATCCCCCTCCCTCTTCTCAATAGATTTCTCTCCGTGGGGAATTCATTCCCATGACTTTAGATCATGTCTCTATGCTGATAAACTCTAAAGTCTTTATCTCATGTCTCAGCTTTTCCCTCCTGAGGTCCAAACCTGTCCTTGGGACTGTGTGGTAATGTTCTCTATCCCAAATGACTTGATTCCTCAAATTCAGGGTTTTCAGATCCAATCTAGCTATCTCTCCCCCTGCCCCTACCTACTCTTTCTCTGTAATTCTCAGCAATTATACCATCCATTTATTTAGTTAGTCTGTAGTAACTTACTGAGCAACTACTATGTCCTAGATGTTGCTCTAAGTCTTTTAAATGTTGCCTCATTTAATAGTAATAGAAATAGTGATAACAGAAGCTAACATGTAGGTAGTGTTTATGTGCTAGGCACTCTTGTGTGTATCTTACGTATGTTAATTCATTTAATTCTCACAACACTCCTATAGGTTACATACTGTTATTAACCTCATCTTATAAGTGAGGAAATGAGGCTCAGTAACTTTCAGTAACTTGCTTAAGAAGTCACATCTATCAAAACTTGTAAGTGTCTATGGAGTACGCAGTTCTGTCTGACACCAAAACTACTGCACTACACTATTAGATTGCCCTAACTACCCCTCAGGGCCAGACTCCTCTCTTTCCTATGCCATGTACATCTAAATCAGATGTTTTCTGCTTATAAATGATCTATTGTCTTCCAGAGACCGTTATTCTACCCAGTATACCTACAGGATTTTGCATCCTTTCGTAAATAAATTTTTTACTATGATGGGCCGCATCTTTTGGAGCAAGGGACCATGCCGGTGCCTTTTGCATAGTACATGCTAGTAAATTGTCATTTCTTTTCACTGACTTTTTACTTCATCCCCTTCACAACTCCCCACGCCCTTATTGCAAGCTTCTGGTTACATCTTTCAGCTCCCGCTAGCGCTTTGTTTATACTGCCTTCATAACACCTGACACATTATGTATTCATTGTAGAGCTAGCTCTCTTCTTGTTTACTGCAAATATTCAAAGGTGTAGTCACTTACTCCTTTGTGTGCTCCCAAAAACAAGCACAGAACTGACACACAGTAGGCCCTCAGATAACATTTATTAGATATATGGAAATAAAATGTGTATTGATGATTTTGGAATGGAAAATATGAAAATCTGACAGTATACGGAATATCTCATTTTTGAAAATTGATTAAACTCTTGGTCTCAGAATACTTTGTTCATTGACATGTCCATCTCCAGAGAATGTGAAGATTTAGTTGGGACATTTAGGAAAATTATTTTTAAGAGTTCTAAGCAGTAGGGTTATGTGACATCTGGCTTCATATTCATTGGTAGCCAAGTAAGCGCAGAAATGGTAACCAGAAACTCACAGTGCAGGAAGTAGCAGGTGGAATTTAAATACTAGATTATTGGACCTCCTTTTGCTACTTAAATCACTTAGCACACTTAGTGGATCCACAATATTCCATTTATAGACCAAGCAGACCACTTTTGCTAGATTGATTCATTGAGATGAACAGCTAAAAGAAGTTAAATCCATCATCACATCTCTGCATAATTTTAAAATGAATTTAGTTGGTGTTAAATGGACATTTGTTTTTATTGTCTCAGAGATGGGACTTTTCCTCCAGTAGAGCAGAATAATGTATCTATATGGTGTTCTAGCTTGAGCAGTACATAAAGATTAGTAAATAAGGCCCCATTAAAAATACTTACATTGTAAGTAACATGAGTCCCAGTAGCGTTTCTAAGGTCCATTAATGCTTATTCTGAGGATCAGAGCTCATTTCACTGAGCCATTTAGTCAAACCGTGTGATTATTTAGAAAGTTAATTCATGCATACTAAAATCTAGCTTAAGTAATTCAGAGGGTAGGAGGTAAAACTCTATGGAGACGATAGTCCTTTTTGTTATTTAATGATCAACCATAATTAACTTGCAAATTTGAAATAATTAGAACAAATTAAAGGTATTTAACTTTGCCTCCCTAAAGAAAAATTCAAATTGCACCAAATGCAGCTTTAAATTATTCAAATCTCAGAGGTCTGGGCTAGATTTTTTTTTTTATAATGCCTTTTCTATGATGAGAATACCAATCTGCTCTTTGTCAGAAGGCATCCTATCAAGTAATTGTTCTTTGTGTTTAATAAATGACAGCTATTCTTCTTTGTAAAAGTATTTCAGTCTCCCAAGACTGCATCAGCATTTCCGTGGCATTTTAATTCAATAAAACAAAAGGTTAATGTTTTTCTACTTTTTAAGGAATGCAAATACAAGTGGTATTCAGTTGGTCCTAAATGACATTTAAATTTTACCATTCAAGCTCAGATAGACTATCGCGACATGAGATTTGGGCAAAATAGAGAAGTTCAAGTTTTGGATGATTAGAATTTTATTGAACTTGAAGAACTGGAAATGTTTTTTTTTTCCTTCCCCCTTCCTAAATCAGGGCTACTCAAAGTTTCCCATTTCATGTTTCATAATATTAAAATTTGGAGATAGAGTTCAATAAAATCTCAGTAACTTAAGAATGACTTACACGGTGTGGCAATCCTAAATGCCACGAGTTTAACCTCTTCTGCTGTCTGTCATGATTTTGATCATTTTACTATCACTTTAACAACTCCAAGAGATCCTAATAAGAATAGCAGCAAATTATTTCTAACAATGTCATCATATCTATGAATGATGTCCTGTATAGTGATAGCCCCTCAGTGAATTTTGTACACATTTTATCTGGACTGTATGAAATGATAAGAAGCACTGACCATCTGACAGTTAGGTTCTGACTTTATGGTGCCCCATACAGAGAATGAATGATATAAAATATGTGGACAAGTGAATGCTTAGTACCTAGTTCTATGTAGTTTTGGAAATAAAATAATTATTAATTTTGATATTATCTCCATATATCTAAAAGTTGCTTTGGTAGCTTTTTTCTACTGGTTTAATATTATTATTTTTATTTATTTATTTTGCGATATCATATTTTTTAAATTGAAGAATGATTGATGTACAATATTAAATGTTACAGGTGTACAATATAGTGATTCACAAATTTTTAAAGGTTATACTCCATTAATAGTT